CGTCGTCGTCGTCGTCGTCCCTCGACAAGGCTACACGCGTTAGGAAATGCGCTTCTTCTCTCTCTCTCTCTCTTTCTCTCTTTTCTTCCTCTGTCTCTTACACATTACGTAAGGCCTCGCGATATCAGGGGACGTGAACAGAGACAGTACAGGATATTCGAAAAGCAATAGTCTACTCTCTTCTTTCAAAGAACGATGTTCCTTTCGCTTTCACGAATTCTTTGGCAACTTTTCTCTAGTTTGATTTTCTCAATTGAAATATCGGAACGCTCAGTTGTCGAAAAACTATTGGTCGCAAATATGGTGGAAGGGAGATTTTTTTAACAAATTAAATTCCAGGAAAAAATATGTTAGAATTTTAACAGAAAATATATAGTTACGGAGCTAGATAGAATTAAAAATGGGAAAGATACGATGAACGAGGAAATACTCGACGGTTGAGGATTATGAGTCTGCGAGCTATCAGTTTTTGGGGTAAATAGAAGGTTGGGAATAGATTACTTTATCGGGTGTGGATGATCGGGAGATATTGGTGGAAGATCGATTTCTACTGCACCGATTGTAACATTAGCACGGCAACGAACGCGCTCTATTACTCTAATCGCGCTGCGCACTTTGCGCACGTAGGCATGTGCAACCACGCGCAATCATGAAATTACAGTAGTGTTGGTTGCATAATATACAGGTAACCTAGATCTGCACCCACTGCTTCCCACTGTTGACCTCGTTACCCTCCCCGGTTTTGCCTTAGCGTGCAGAAACCTTTATTTCAAGTCGAGATGCTGTTCACATCTTGGCGAATCATCTCGGCGAATAGCGCAATAGAAAAGATCATAGCATCCGAGGGAATTTAAACAGAAATCTAAGTGAAGAAGACTTTCAGAATTCGAGACTTTAAGTTAAGAGATGTAGATAAATGTAAAGTGAAATCTATATATCTCTTTTCGTATACACTCGCGTTATTCTCGCGTTTATGTCAATTTATTGAGAGAAAGGAATATTTCTACGCGAAAGGTGAACTGACTCATAAATAAACCACTTGGCAACTCGTACGAATAAAATAAGATCAATGATCTCTTTTTTTCCCTGAACCATCGAAGCTCACTTTCACCGGTGCACGGTGCCTTTGCTTTTATTAAGTTATTTCGCCGCAAAATAACTGGGATCGGTAGTATCTATTTTAGAAGGTTTACACATGATCGTCTCCGATTCGCCATTTACAACGTACGTACGTACGAGAAACCATATTCCTATATTATATTATTTTGTCACTTTATAACTAGTTTTCCTCTATGATAAAATTATTATTTACAATCCGAAAAAGAGAACCCAGAATTTCATCTAAAATTTTTAAACGTTAGATGTTTTTGCGCATAGAAACGCTACTATCGCGACTGTTATCTCGTTGTTACAAGATTTGTCATCCTATGATCAATTGGGACATAGGTTCGTCCGGAAACCGTGTCACCCCCTCGCTACTTGGGCCAGTCGACCCAGTTTCGAGCTCCCAAGCGCTCGTAAAATGCGGAACGCCCGGTAGATGGGCGCTCCAGATATCTTTTCATTTTTTTTTTTTTTTTTTTTTTTTTTTGGGTGACCCGGCTGAAAGAGATATCGATTTTGCTTGAATTTTCTATACAAGCGGGAAAGTGACCGTAGAATACGTGAATTACGAGTCTACGATTAGCTGACATACCACGCGTAGATATTGAAGCTTAAAGGTCAAGTCGAATGGCGACTGTGTTGCAAGCTTTACTTACATAGAAAATTTCTTGTTGTGCATACGAATACATATATGTATATATATATATATATATATACAAATTAATCTTGATAATGTTACAACAAATGTACTTGTATGTTTGTGTGCGGCTGATCTGACGAATCTGCTTCTGAAAGATTTCTCAATACTTTTCATTTTATGATCTATAATGTTAAAGATTAAAACTTAAACGATAATAATAAAACTTTATATGCGCAAGGGTTAAATATGCGCCGCAAATAAACACGATATTCTTGTCGATAGTACTGTGTTTCGCCATCGTAAACGCCGAGAAACCTACCGGAAGA